CCTTCCTATAACATGTGGTTACAGTTCTCGGATAAACCTTGCATTTTCCTGTGCGTATTGTAACCTCTTCATGTATTTAATATTCCCATTCCAAATGGTGATCACTCCTGCACCTTTTAGGATATATGTACAGTAGGCACCCCCACATCGGAAATATGAAATGAAACCTATTGGAGAATTTAGTGCTTTTTTTAGTGGTATTTTAGTGCTACAACCTCGATTTTAGTGCTCCACCCCTTATACCAAAAATCGGTGGTGGTGCTGAGTAAACGTTCTCTCAGCACCCCCACAGCACATACTAAGTTAAGGGAAAGATTCACGGAAAAAACGAGTACGCAGCCTTTTGGTGCTATTTAAGTACTTTAGGAATACCCAAGCGACAGATCCGAAACATCACCCCCTTCACCCTAAAACTACCCTCGATCGTATAGGCTCCAAGATAGAAAAGATAGAAATAATAACACATTTTGCACGTTCTTCTCTCGCATTATTTTGGTGTTATTTAAGTGCTTTAAGGATATCGTGGGTATCCACAGAGCATATAAATAGCACCAAAATAATGCGAAAAGAGAACATGCAAAATGTTACTATTTCTACCTCTTCTCTCTTGGCGCTTATACGATAGGGGGTAGTTTTGGAGTGAAAGGGGTGGTGTTTCGGATCTGGCTCTTGGGTATCTCTAGAGCACTAAAATAGCACCAAAATAATTCGAGAAGAGAACATGCAAAATGTTATTATTTCTACCTCCTCTCTTGGCGCTTATACGATCGGGGGTAGTTTTGGGGTGAAAGGAGTGATGTTTCGGATCTAGCTCTTGTGTATTTCTGGAGCACTAAAATAACACCAAAATGCTGCATACTCGTTTTTTCCGTGAATCTTTCCCTTAACGTAGTATGTACTGTAGGGGTGCTGAGTGAGCGTTCACTCAGCACCACCACTGATTTTCGGTATAAGGGGTGGAGTATTAAAATCGAGGTTGTAGCACTAAGAAAGCACTAAATTCTCCAATAAGTTTCATTCCATATTTCCGATGTGGGGTGCCTACTGTACAATGGCGGACATGAATGCCTCCCCTGCAGATACGGCATCGCCTGTGCAGGATGAGAGGGCATCGATGTCTCTCAGTGTACAATGGCGGACATGAATGCCTCCCCTGCAGATACGGCATCGCCTGTGCAGGATGGGAAGGCATTGATGTCTCCCAGTATACACACATCCTTTTAGGCACAGCGTCATAGACACGGTAGCTACTCGCAAGATTACCTTTCCCATTCCACGTGGTAAATTACAGAATTTGTGTGGTTTTACTTCCCACAGTATTTTGACCATGTCCCTATAGTAATTATAACCAAATAATTTTTTCCCGAGTACCAAACGGAGAAGCGTCGGTCTTCTCCGTCGTTAGAAAATGGCGACCAACCTCGGCAATCAAGGCGGACGACCAGCCAGGAAGAGGCGCCAACGAGCGTCGTTACTTTGTCAGCGTCTGACGATCCGGATTGTTTTACGATGGATGACGGTGCGCGATCCGATTGTTTGCACGTACCAGCCGCGATTAAGTCCCGGTCCGTGGTTTTAACGTTATCATTTCTCAAACAGAGGCGCGATGACGTCTGCATCGTGTGGCTGCATTCGACCCAATGTATGTCCTTCTCTCGTTTGTCAAGACTTGTCTCGTTAAGGTGAAGTGAAACCCCCTTCAAATCAGTCGATTCGAATACAACACTTTTTTTTAAGGATATTGGGCCAAACTGTCCGAGATTTTGAAATATGACTCGTGATCATCTAAGAATTGTCCTGACACATTCAATATTTGGATTTTTTGAACAAATTGTTTAACTTAGCCCAGACCAGAACCAAAATAGCGTGAGCTCTCATATTTCGATCAATCTACAATTATAGAAGGCTCTGATATGAGAAACGAAATGATCAAGATAATATTACGACAATTTAGAACACTCTGGTAATCGATAAACTCGCATTCGAACGAGATAAAGGCAAAAAAAGTGTTTTATGCGCTTCTATGCTAAAACGATGGGGATACGAGGTCTCGGAGTGAAAATTTAATTGACCTGGAAATCACAGATGGCGCAAGGGGTCCCTCTACAGTCAATTAGGGCCCCAGAAAGCATAAATCCAGAGGATTTCTGGAGTTTTAATTCGATTTCTTTGTAATTAATGTACGAAAACGACAGGTGGAGTATGCCATTTGGTACAATACCCAATATAATTCGACCCAGCTATCAATATAAAAACAAACGTCGGCACCGTAGGTATGTACAGTATAGTATCAGTAGATACGTACCAAAAAGTGTGTTATGCGCTTCTATGCTAAAACGATAAGAATACGAAGTCTCGGAGTGAAAATTTAATTGACCTGGAAATCACAGATGGCGCAAGGTGTCCCTCTGCAGTTAGTTATGGCTTCAGAAAGCATGAATCCAGAGGATTTCTGGAGTTTTACTTCGATTTCTTGATATTTATTGTACGAAAACGGCATGTGGAGTGTGCTATTTGGTACGATATCCAATATAATTCGACCCAGCTGTCGATATAAAAACGAACGTCGTTAACGTAGGCATTTAGAAAAATCTTCTTTATCGACGTCGATCAAGTTCCTCGACGTGTTTCACTTCACCTTAATGGATTTTCACGTTTCTCTACAGGGTGAATCCAGTCACGACCCGTTTCCTCACTTTTTATCCGATTTCGAGAACGGAAAAAATTATTCTCTAACTTCGCCATACGCGCATGTTCCGAGGAAACGAATGGAGACCAATCGTTTGAGAAAGTTGGGTATTTTTACAGAAATTAGAATCTAACGATCGAAACATATTTCGAGTAACAGAGGCCGCAGCGCCATCTTGGATTATTAACCCCTTGACATAGAAATAAACGGGAATTTGATACGTCCAAAAAATACTGTTTAATTTGGCCGGAGGCAGTTCTTGACGTCTCGGAGTCGTCAAAGTCTACAATGGCAGATGAAATGAATGACGTCATTGTATGTCAAGAGGTTAAGGGGATGTGAAAGTGGCGACCCTGAGGTCTGGTTTATGAAACTCTTCTTCGAACTGGGTGTATCGAATCGTTTCAAACTTCACTACGTGAATGTGGAGGCTATAAGGCAGACCCTGACACCCATGAAGTTTAAATTGTTTAAAAATTTGATGATAAGTATTTTTTTAGTTTTTTTGTAAATGAAATTTCATGAGTGTCGGGACTTTCCTTATAGCCTCTGCATTAACATTGTAAAGTTTGAAACAATTTACAAAAAATCTTCTCTACCGACGTCGATCAAGTTCCTCGACGTATTTCGCATCACCTTAAGGCGATATGAAAATGATATAAAAGTCAAAATATCTATGTAACTTTTCTCCGAACTCAGAGAACCGAATTATCTGAAACTTTAACACGTGATTATGAAGGCTCTAAGTAATAACGCGCTGCTCGTGAAATTTCATTTTTAGAAAAAAATGTTGCGTTTATTTCGGACAAGAACCAAAAAAAGGAATTTTTTCTTGAAAAATGAAATTTCACGGGCAGCGCGTTCTTTCTTAGAGCCTCCATATTCCCGTGTTAAAGTTTTAGGTAATTCGGTGCGCTCAATTTGGAAAAAAGTTTTATAAATATTTTTACTTTTCGGTACGTATATATATCACACTTTCATATTAAGTTAATTTCTATGAGGAAGAAGAAAGGAGCGGGTCCGCATTTTTCGGGGAACGTTTACCTGAAACGCGAGATTTGGATATTTCAAAAAAATATTTTAACTTAGCCCAGATCAGAACCAAAATGGCGTCGAGCTCTCATATTTCGATCGATATCCAATTATTGAAGGCTCTACTGTGAGAAACGGAAGGGTCAGGACAATTGTAAGACAATTTAGAACACTTTGGTAATGGGTAATTTCTATGAGGAAGAAGAAAGGAGTGGGTTCGTATTTTTCGGGGAATGTTTACCTGAAACGCGAGATTTGGATATTTCAAAAAAATATTTTAACTTAGCCCAGATCAGAACCAAAATGGCGTCGAGCTCTCATATTTCGATCGATATCCAATTATGGAAGGCTCTAATATGAGGAACGGAAGGGTCAGAGATTTGGATTTTCCAAAAAAATGTTTTAACTTAGCCCAGATCAGAACCAAAATGACGTCGAGCTCTCATATTTCGATCGATATCCAATTATTGAAGGCTCTAATGTGAGAAACGGAAGGGTCAGGACAATTGTACGACAATTTAGAACACTTTGGTAATGGATCATTTCTATGAGGAAGAAGAAAGGAGCGGGCCCGCATTTTTCGGGGAACGTTTACCTGAAACGCGAGAAGATTTTGATTTTCCAAAAAAAAATTTTTAACAGCCCAGATCAAAACCAAAATGGCGTCGAGATCTCATATTTCGATCTATATCAAATTATGGAAGGTTCTAATGTGAGAAACGGAAGAGTCAGGACAATTGTACGACAATTTAGAACACTTTGGTAATGGGTAATCTTCTATAAGGAAGAAGAAAGGAACGGGCCCGCGTTTTTCGGGGAACGTTTACCTGAAACGCGAGATTTGGATATTTCAAAAAAATATTTTAACTTAGCCCAGATCAGAAGCAAAATGGCGTCGAGCTCTCATATTTCGATCAACATCCAATTATTGAAATCTCTAATGTGAGAAACGGAAGGGTCAGGACAATTGCACGACAGTTTAAAACACTTTGCTAATGGGTAATTTCTATCAGGAAGAAAGGAGCGGGTCCGCATTTTTCGGGGAACGTTTACCTGAAACGCGAGATTTGGATTTTTCAAACAATTTTTTTAACTTAGCCCAGATCAGAAGCAAAATAGCGTCGAGCTCTCATATTTCGATCAACATCCAATTATTGAAATCTCTAATGTGAGAAACGGAAGGGTCAGGACAATTGTACGACAATTTAGAACACTTTGGTAATGGGTAATTTCTATCAGGAAGAAAGGAGCGGGTCCGCATTTTTCGGGGACCGTTTACCTGAAATGCGAGACGACGTCATGCCTCAGCATAGTAGAGCACCTTCATCGGGGGCGGTCGGTCGCGGTTGGTCGGCTAAGACGCGCGGCAGACGCGAGACGTCGGTCCAGCCACTTTATCGCCCATTTCCGCGCGTTTCCCCGCCGGCTCCGTCCACTCCTGTCCACTCCCGTCCACTCTGTACGTCGCGTATTGACATGCGTTTTACGTCCCTCGTCGGTTTTCCTCTAACCGAAATCGGAGGTAACGCGGACCCGAAAATCCGTTACGACTACCCACGGAGGACCGACACCTGTGGAGCGGCGAAACTGGACGCTGTGTTGTCGCGAAACGCGTCCGAGCCCTTAAGAGGATATGAAAGAGTGAGCCTATGTATGTATACATATTTTCCCACCTGACTCTATCATATTCCATTTCTACGGAATTCCAAATTGTTCGAGCTAGGTCCTGAAACTCTTCGTTTTCGATTCCAAGCCTCCAAGAAGTGTAAAACACCGAAAACGTGCCCGGTCCCCGCCATGTTGGTTCCAGTCCATGATAAGTAAATCAATTTTTGATGAAAAATGAAATTTCATGAGATTCAGGACCTATTTTAGCGCCTCCATATTCCCGTGGTAAAATTTGAAGCGAATCGGTACGTTTTAGTTCATGATGAGTGAATTCATTTTCGATGAAAAATGAAATTTTCTGAGTTTCAGGACCTACTTTAGCGCCTCCATATTCCCGTAGTAAAATTTGAAACGAATCGGTACGTTTTAGTTCATGATGAGTGAATTCATTTTTGGTGAAAAATGAAATTTCCTGAATTTCAGGACCTACTTTAGCGCCTCCATATTCCTGTGGTAAAATTTGAAGCGAATCGGTACGTTTTAGTTCACGATAAGTGAATTCATTTTTTATGAAAAATGAAATTTCCTGAGTTTCAGGACCTACTTTAGCGCCTCCATATTCCTGTGGTAAAATTTGAAGCGAATTGGTACGTTTTAGTTCATGATAAGTGAATTCATTTTTGATGAAAAAAGAAATTTCCTGAGTTTCCGGACCTACTTTAGCGCCTCCATATCCCCGTGGTAAAATTTGAAACGAATCGGTACTCCCGTTTCGGAGAATATCTTCCCCAACGATTTGCCTTCTCATACATATACATATAAGTCATACTGAAATTTTACCACGGGAATATGGAGGCGCTATAGCAAGTCCCGAAATTCATGAAATTTCAGTTTTCACCCAAAATTTATTTACTTATCATGGACTAGAATCAACATGGCGGGGACCGAGCACGTTTTCGATGTTTTACGCTTCTTGGAGACTCAGAATCGAAAATGAAGAGTTTCAGGACCTAGCTCGAACAATTTAGAATTCCGTAGAAATGGAATATTATAGAGTCAGGTGGGAAAATGTGGTAAATAGTTTCACCAACGATTGCAAGGGAATGCTAGCTTGTCCTGTGGCTAACAGGTGTTTCTAGAGCAAAAATTTATTTGCAACTAGACGTCACAGATGGCGACGTTGGTCCTTCAAAATATAAACAGTCACGAATTCATGGGTTTTCGACAGTCGTACACTGGGAGACATCAATGCCCTCCCATCCTGCACAGGCGATGCCGTATCTGCAAGGGAGGCATTCATGTCCGTCGTTGTACATCGATCCGTTTATCATTCCTTCACCGAAATGACATATGGAACCCTTCAGTTCGTATAATTCTCAACGTAGACTGTAAAAGACCAACGTAAATATGAACGTCGCTAACGGGGGCTCATGGTCCCACCTGACTATTCAAAACGGCATTTCCCCCAAAAAGGGTACAGATGAATTTGATTTTATTTTTTAGCGCCTTTCATATCCTCTTAACCCGACATTTCGGACTCGAGCGAAATGCTATCGAGAAACACTTCCAGGCAGGGTAAAATGATAATCGTTGGCGGATTGTTCGTTGAATTTATTGTTTATAGACAACGTTTATAGCGCCGAGTGGTCTTCTTACGGCTCGTCGGCCTCCCGGGGGAGAGTTCCACTCTTCCTCGCTCTAAGGGCACCCTGGGGCACTTCTATCTTCTCCCGATCGCTCCGGAGTCAAAGGGAGCGTTATGAAGTCGGAAGCGGGCAGGAAACGCCGAGTAAATGGGAATTCCTAGAGAACCGTCTATTGATAGACCGCACACTGTAACCGGTGATGTCGATTTTGCTTAATGTCCTAGAACGGTTTAATGCCACTTAAATCGCCCCCGTGGTGGCGCTACGCCCCAGGAATTCCGAGGTTTTTACCGCGACACGAGTCGACTCGGAATCGGATACACAAATTCGGTTTAGAAAATAATCTCGGCGGGTCTTCCGCGTCGCGGGTTCACGAGACGACACTCCGCGTCCCGAACCGGCCGAGTCGCGACTGACTGTGAGCGACCGCGACTACCTGGAGCCGCCGACTTCAAAGCGGTGCCGACACGTCCGCGGCTCTTCCCATTGGCCGAGTGGGGGCGCCCCGCGCGACCCACGCCACTGACTTCAAGCTCCACGCTTCTCCTTTAACCCCTTAAGGTGAAGTGAAACCCCCTTCAAACCAGTCAATTCGAATACAACACTTTTTTTAAAGGATATTAGACCAAACTGTCCGAAACCTTGACACGTCACTCCTGATCATCTAAGAATTGTCCTGACACATTGAAAATTTGGATTTTTCAAAAAAAGTTTTTGACTCAGCCTAGGTCAGGACCAAGATGGCGATGAGCTCTCATATTTCGATTAATATACAATTATCGAAGGCTCTGATATGAGAATCGAAAGGGTCAGGACAATTTTACGACAATTTAGAACACCCTGGTAGTCGATAAACTCCCATTTGAACGGGATAAAGGCAAAAAAAGTGTTGTATGCGTTTCTATGCTAAAACTATGGGAATACGAAGTCTCGGAGTGAAAATTTAATTGACCTGGAAATCACAGATGGCGCTCAAAAACCATGAATCCAGGAGATTTCTGGCGTTTTTATGGAAATTTCAGCACATGATAGTGGAGGTCCTAAGGAAGAACGTGGTGCTCCTAAAATTTCATTTTTAATACAAAACTTTTCTACTTGTTCCAGACCAGAACCAAAAATATATATACTTATGGAAAGATGAAACTTAAGGAGCACCACGTTTTTCCTTTGGGGTCTTCATAATCACGTGCTGAAGTTTCGAATGATTAGGTGTACCCAGTTTGGAGAAGAGTTGTATAAATATTTTGACGTTTCATATGTATAGAATGACCCTTTCATATCACCATTTGGAGAAGAGTTGTATAAATATTTCGACGTTTCATATGTATAGAATGACCCTCTCATATCACCTTAACCTGCTAGTTAAACAACAAATCTCGTTTAGTAAATTGGTTATTTCTCGGAGGAGTTGGTTCGTTCCGAATAACAATGGTGGCACTCCTTGGATATTGACACGCGGATTGTTGAGCGGGCACTCGGGAATTGGTCCCTGATGCGATATTAACGACGCCAATGGCATTTCGGAAATGCCACGGCTCGACATTTCTCTCCCGCACATTCGCCGCGACTCGGCGACTTCGTGACACCAAAATGGCGCAGAGAAATCATCCGCCATTTTTAAAAGCACATTAAATCGGTGTCCTAAATCGCGCAGTATTTCCTTCGCAACTTTTTGAGTATGTTAGAATAATCAACTTTCGACCTATTAGAATAATCAAACCTTAACCCTTTTAGTGCCGGAGGTCGATATATCGGCCTTTGCTGCACTGGCGAAAAGAGCCAGAGCCGATGTGCCCATAATTATGAAAGTGGTCTAAGTCAAAATTAAAAAAAAAATTAGTTTATCAGTTATTTCACGCCATATTATTTCAAACAAAATTAATTCAATGTAATTTACTTTAATAATAAACAAAAAATATATGACTTAGACCACTTTCATAATTATGGGCACATATATCGGCCCGCACCTTGTAGCGCTTTACTATTCGCTTTGCGAGAGATCTCTATCTGAAAATAAATTTATAATACGTTATAAATAGTCTAATTTCATTACGAGAGAATTAAAATAACGATACGACAACACCTATAACCTACAACAATTACTTGTCTCGGATGAGATAATCCGTCCGGCGCCTCCCATGTGCCTTGGAGTTATTTTTTATGTTTCTTGTGCAATATTACTTATTTTGTTAAAAAATATATTGGAAATTTTAAGTATATACTTTGCAATAAACGGTCTATATAAATTTATGATAAAAAGATGACTTTTCCTATGTGCAATTACGTTTTGAAACAGAGAATTCAATTTTTCTTTTTTTTTTTTAATCACATACCTTTGCTATTGTTCTGGTCTGGGCTAAGTTAAAAAGTTATTTTTCAAAAATTCAAATTTCGAAAGTGTCAGGATAATTTCTAGATCCTCACGAGTCATGTGTCAAAGTTTCGGACAATTTTATTCAATCCTCTTAGAAAAAAGTCTTATTCGAATCGACTGATTTGAAAGGCGTATCACTCCCCCTTAAGGTGACATGAAAGGGTCATTCTACATATCAAAGCGTCAAAATCATTTTTATGATAATTTTTAACTTCAACACGTGATTATGAAGACCCTAAGAAAGAACACGATGGTCGTGAAATTACATTTTTCGAAAAAAAATTTTTATTTACCCTAGACTAGAACCAAAATCACATTTTCTTGGAAAAGATGAAATTTTACGAGCATCCCGTTCTTCCTTTGGGCTTTCATAATCACGTACTGAAGTTTCAAATGATTTGGTGCACCTAGTTTGGAAGAAAGTTTTATAAATATTTTGTTTTATATATATAGAATGACCCTTTCATATCGCCTTAATATTTCGCAAAAAAATGCCACTAGAAAGCTATTACGTATAGCAGTGATTCTTATCCGGTGCTCCGCAAACCACTGGTAGTTTGCGAACTTGTTACAGGTGAATCACCGCAGAATGTTTTGCATACTTATATACAGCTCACTTGGGCGACTTGGAAAGTAAAAATGAGAAAGAAGGAAACATACGTACAGGAATTAAATTACGAATTACGTATTTTAAATGCGGCTGATATAAATCAAAAGAAGGAAAACCCTTAGGGAAATCAAGTAGGTACAATTGCAACTTCACTTATAAGCACACTGAGAAAAAAACAAATGGTTGACTCAAAGAAATATGCACCGAGGCAACAAAACCCTACGATGAAATACGTGCAAATAAATATCAAAGTGGATAAACAAAATTATTTTATTGAATCAAACGAAGGTGAAATGATACCTGATAATAGATATTTTGTTCGACGGACAATCTGCTTGAAGATGATATGGAAGAGTCATTTATGTATATCATATATATACAATGTATTATATATCTGAAAGGTATATATACGTATGTAAACATGGCGCCCCTAAAGTACGTTCTGAAACTCATGAAATTTCATTTTTTACGAAAAATGTAACTCTTTATCATGAACTAAAATCAACATGGCGTGGTCCGTGCTCGTTTATGATGTTTTACGCTTTTTGGAGGCTTAGAATCGAAAATGAAGAGTTTCAGGACCTAGCTCGAACAATTTAGAACACCGTAAAAATGGATTGTTACAGAGACACATGGGATAATATGGAAAATACTTTCATCAACGATTGCAAGAGAATGTTGGCTTGTCCCGTGGGTAACATGTTTTTAGAAAAAAGATTTAGTTGCAGCTAAACGCCACAGATGGCGACGTTGGTCCTGAAGAGTCGTTAGAATAATGAATTCACGGGATTTCGACAGTTTTACATCGATCTTTTTATCATTAATTCATTAAAATGACATACGGAACGCTTCATTTCGTATAATTTTCAACGTAGAGTGTAAAAGACTTCAACATAAGTATAAATGTCGGTAACGGGTCGCGCCAGTTTAACCGGTTTAAACCATATTTTCTGGTTTTTACGGTCTAAATCGTTGCCTAAAAACCAGTGGTTAAAACCTGGTTGAAACCATATTTAAATGTTTTGTGTGCTGCTATGCCAAAACGATGGTAATACGAAACACGGGTCCCTTAGATATTAGTCCTCTATAACATATTTAAAAATGAGCAAAATTGGAGGGGGACACCTCAGGTACCTTCCTTGTGAGTGGGTTTTACGTAATGTATCTTATTTACTGGAGAAAAGCGAAAAAAAAGCGGAAAAAGCCGCTGGATTTACCCAGAATGGGTGAAACTTTGCCAACCCCGTTGAAGCCACTTGTCATTCGGGCCGAAGTGGTGGGAGGATGTTCGACTCCGATACAAAGATTAGAAAATTCAGAGGAACGTGTAGTTCTGCTCCACTTTTCGGGTAAAAGCGATTCTCGGAATCGCCGACTTCCTAGAGTACGAGACGAATATCGTTACCGGGAAGGTTATCCGTAGGTACTGTCGAACTCGACTCGAAAATAAACTTTCGTCAGCCGGTGGTCTAAACTTCCGTGACTTATGACTGGGGAAAGTCACGTCTCGAGTCCATCGACTAGAAAAAAGTGGAGTTCCGACCGAGGCGCAGAATCGCGTTCCCGGTCCTCCTCCAAGGACAGACCGGCTAAATCAAACCCGCCGACGTTTCCGTAAATATTGACGCTCATATTTCATTCCGGTACCCTGGCATTCATCGATGGTTACCTCGCGGACCTACTGCCCTCTCCGGCCGTGCGGCGTACTAGCGGCGGGAGGAGCGCGGAATTTGAATCGCTCAAGGGGCAGAAGGGATTTGCTAAAGTAAATAAATGTTTATAAAGAAAATAATTAATAAAAATTATTTAAATATTATCGTGAAGTCACTTAAGGTGAAGTGAAACCCCCTTCAAATTAGTCGATTCGAATACAACACTTTTTTTTAAGGGTATTAGACCAAACTGTCCGAAACTTTGACACTCGTGATCATCTAAGAATTGTCCTGACACATTCAAAATTTGGATTTTAAAAAAAATTTTTTAACTTTCTCCAGATAAGAACCAAATTGGCGTCGAGCTCTCATATTTCGATCAATATACAATTATCGAAGGCTCTGATATGTGAATCAAAAGGGTCAGGACAATTTTACTACAATTTAGAACACTCTGGTAATCGATAAACTCGCATTTGAACGGGATAAAGCCAAAAAAGTGTCTTATGCTCTTGTATGCCAAAACGGTGGGAATACGAGATCTCGGAGGGAAAATTTAATTGACCTGGAAATCACAGATGGAGCAAGGTGTCCCTCTGCAGTCAATTAGGGTCTCAGAAAGCATGAATCCAGAGGATTTCTGGAGTTTTACTTCGATTTCTTGATATTTATTGTACGAAAACGACAGGTGGAGTATGCCATTTGGTACAATATCCAATATAATTCGACCCAGCTGTCAATATAAAATCCAACGTCGGCAACGT